GTTTTCTTCTACAGGACTATGGTGGGAGAATACATTTGAAACAAGGACGATCAGATTTATAGGTTCCAAAGAACCAGTAGAACTTTCTTGGGACAGATATCACCCGAACCTAGATAATACAGGTTAAATATCCTTTATCCAAAATGTTCAAGACCACAGATGTATTGGATTTTTGATAAATGAATATCTATGTTTGCATTTGCATATATAATGAGATATCTTAGAGAGGGGAGACAGTCTAAACAGAATAGTTATGTTTCATAGCTACCTGAAGGTAACTTTATTCACAATATTTCAAATATTTTGTTGACATAAAATAAATGGTTCTTGTGGGTTTTTTCGGGCTATAGAGCCATGTTCTAGAGGCATTTCTCCTGACGTTTCGCCTGCATCTATGGCAAGCATCCTCAGAGGTTGAGAAGGTAAAATAAATGTTTTGTACCTTGTACTATTGGAAATCAAAAATTTGATTGTCTCAGCTGCTCACATGGACAATTTTAGATTGTGGAGTATTTTGGATGGTCTGGTCAGGAATGCTAAATCTCTATGTTTATGGATATGAATTTTCATGATTTTTGTACTTACAGGCAAGGATGTCTAATTTCCAATTTTGCCTGCCGGATGAAAACAAAGAATTGCACAGTAAACTCTCTTCACCCTTCTGTATGGGCTTTTTTTTGTGCAGAAATACTTGTGAGATTATTGTGTGCCTAAAATAGATTGTTCAGAAACCGTGTCTCCCAAGCAGGGAGCAGTATTTTCAGCATGGATTACATGGTTCCTTCAGAATGAAATATTTCTTTTTGTTTTTGCATAGATGAATATTGTCAGTGCTTTATAGCCTAAATGGTTCCAGCCCAGTTTACCTCTCTGAATGTATCTCCCTCTATGATCCACCTTGGATGTTAAGATCGTCAGAGGAAGCTCTGCTCTTGATTCCACCCCCCTCGCAGGTGTGACTGGTGTGGACGAGAGACAGGGCCTTCTCAGTGGTGGCCTCTCACCTGTGGAACTTCCTCCCCAAGGAAATTAGGTCAGCCCCCTCTCTCCTGACCTTCAGACATGGTTGTGGGACTAAGCATTCAAGCAGTAATTGCAGCAGTGCAGTAATTGCAGCAGTGCAATAATGATAATGAATCAATGTGATTGTTGCAACCCAGAGCAGGAAACGAGACCATAAGAAAACAATCCACCACACTTGACTGTGGGAAAAAACAATCCCTTTTTATTGATGAAAAATGGTTACAAAATAGAGGAAAATGCAAAGTCAAAAAGCCACAGTAAAATTCAGCAGTCAGGAATATCCATGAATTAGATCAAAATTCCAAAAGCAACACTGTAAAAACCTGGAACCTGTTAGCAAACCACTAACCGTACTTGGAGCACTAGAAGCCTCTTGGGATGTAGGCCACGGGAAACAGGGAAATCTGCCAAGGTAATGCCTCAGTCTAAACGATGCCTGATCTAACGAGACAACCCGGCGAGAGGCACTTAAAACTGAAGAAACTGTTTCGTGACACGCCTCCAGGCTTTGAAGCCTGTGTTTCCTTTTCCCTTAATCTGCTTGACCTTCGCAGACTCTGCGATTCACTCCTGTTTTTCCAAATCTGTCCTTTTCTATCCTCATTAAGGAAGCCAGGTGTTAGCTCCTCTGGAGAGCTATCACCGCTTGGCTCTGAAACACTTTCACTTTCCAAGCCACTGACCTCAGAATCAACATTTTCATTACCATCAGGGAAATATACATGTTCAGTAGCATCAGGAAATACAATCAGAGAATCAGGTTCAGGTTCAGCAATCAGAGAATCAGGTTCAGGTTCACACGCAGGCTGAACCCCAACAGTGATTGACAAATGGACAGACCTGAGACTATGATATGAATTTGTGTGATTTTAATTTTTTGTTTATTTTTGGATTGATATCTGTTGGCATCTAATTGTTGCCTGTGGTAAGGCCACCCTGAGTCACCTAAGGGGTGATAAGGGCAGAGTACAAATGTGGAAACTAAATAAATAAATAAATAATGATAATAATAAATAAGTGTTAATTGTGAAAAGCCACCCATGGCAGAGCAGGGGTCCAAACCCTGATCATCCAAAGTCCCAGTCCAAAACTCAAACCACTACAGCACAGTCTCTTTAAAGACCTTAGCCCCTAAACACATTCCAGAATTCCAGAGTAAAAGGAATGACAGTTATGCCTTCACTGTTAAATGTGATGTTTGACCAGATCTACCAGTTTAACAAAATGAAAATCAGGAGGAGGGGGGAATCTTGGCACTCTTCCAAGGAGATGTTGATGCTCCTCCCTCCAAAGCTATGTGAAAACACTATAAAGCTGCTCTGAATCCCCCTTGGGGTGAAATAGAGCAGGGTAGAAATAAGGTAAATAAATCAATTTCACCTTGGCTATCTGAAAAGCACCAAACGAGACCAAGTTGCTAGGAGCATCATGAGGTCAACCAGCATTTTCCTTCTTGCTGTTTTCTTAACATTGTGCGCTGAACTCTCCACTGGAGATGTCCTTCCTCCGTTTCCAAGTAAGTACGTTTCCAAGTAAGAACATTGTCCTCATGTTGTTTGAGTGTTTTTTAATTTTACTTGCTATTTTTATCATTATGGTTTGTGTGTTTTATCTAGTATGGTACATTTCTGTAGCAAAATAAATCCAGACTTCACCTGTTGTGTTGTCTTTTCTGGTACTTTGAGGGCCCTTCCACACAGCTGGTTTTTAAAATCCTTGCGTGTTATTGTTTATATGTGAGTTATATTAATTGTATTGTTTTTTGCTTATTGCTTTTTGTTTTATTGATGTGTTGTCGGGCTTGGCCTCATGTAAGCCGCTCCGAGGCCCTTGGGGAGATGGTGGCGGGGTATACATAAAGTTTTATTTATTTATTTTATATGTTATATCCAACATGGATATAACAAAGTCAGCACAAGCAGGTTTTCTATTGTTGTCTCTCCTCACTCCTGGTGCCTCCAGGTTTGCCCTCTTGATCCCCATCCCCTTTTGGGTCACTTACCTTCAACATGCTGGTGCCTTCTATGTAATTTCAGGATCCATTTCCTTTCAGTAATACACAGGAAATGAGAACAAAGAAATGGTTGGCGAGAGTTCTCAAGGGCATTGCTTTACTCCTGTGGTTCCATTTAGCCACCTGTGTCTTCGTGGCTCCCTCTGACATGGGATGTTTGATAACAGACTGGAAAGTTTTCTTTCTGTTAAATTCTATTCCAGTAATCTTTACCTTCTTTCATTTCTTTCTTGCGATTTCTCAAATTAGCATTCCTAATTGCCTCCGAGCCTTTATCAATGTCAATACATGTGTTTGCTTCCCTTTCCTTTTTTAAAGATAAGCCTGGGGTTTGTCCACGCAATGATGCCATCTGTCATGGAGAAACAGTTGGAAATCGATGCACTGGAGACGAGCACTGTCCAGGAGCACAGAAGTGCTGCCCAGGCCCGTGTGGCAAAACCTGCACTCCGCCTAAGGAAGGTAGTGTGTCAGATTCTGACATCCTGGAGTCATTTTTCTTTTACGGACAAACAAACCAGAGTACCATCTTTCTGCAATTGTAAGACACATTTCAGCACCACCACCACCACTACCAAAATGCACGATACATTTGCAATTCTATTATGCACCCCATTTTAATATGTCTATAGGGGAAAACTGTGTCTTAGGGCTCTTCCAGACACATCAAAATCCTGAGTGGAACTGGAATTTTCAATTTTTATTTCCAGTTCTTCTCTGGATTCAGGCCCCACAGCTGGGCCAAAACCCATGCGTTCCCTGGAGCCCCCCCCCCCTCCAAACCTCCCGATTAGTCATTTTGGTGCATCAGAAGTTTTTTTGAGGAGCCTGAGCATGCATCCAAGCCCCTCCAATAAATTTTGGAGGAAAGCAAGGGACTAGGAGGGGAAGATGGGGGTGACATCTCTGTTCTTGACCTCACACGTCTACACCTGGAGAGATCTGGACCTCTCAATAAGGTCCAGATCTTTCCAGGTGTGTTATTAATCTGAAGTAGAATTTGAAATCCCAGTTTACTCCTGCTTGATCTGGGTTAATTTGAGGCATTGTTATGATGCCTCAGGTTAATCCGTGGCCCATCATGGGTTTATGGGTCTGTATGGAAGAGCCCTTAGAATTGAAGACATAAAGTGTTTTCAGATTGATGTTAGAAATGAGCTCCTTCAAGTGCAGGATGGTGTCTGCTTGTCATAGTCAATAACGAATCTTTTTCATCTTAATTTCTTGCATTTACCATACTTTGTAATTCACACTAGAAGGTAAAAAGGGCTTCACTTGTAGTTTTGATAGATGAGGAAGTCACATTGTTGCAGGTAAAACAAGTTGGTAAATATTATGTGTCTCTGATATATTTTGTTAGAGTTACTACAGCAATCCTCTCCGGAAAATGCCTTGCAGTTTTCTTGCAGGCAGCCAGTTGGATATAAGCACATTGAGAGAGGAAGTTTTGGAATCTGAGGGCTTTGGGGGGATTTGAGGGAGCACGTTTGGGAGTCCCAGAAGTCATTTGCAGACTACAGGCTGCATTTTGTCCACCCTTGCTCTAATCATACCACAGTCTTCCAACCATGGGCTGTGAGGAATTGAACAAAAGACTACCAGACTAATCCCAGATTTATAGCCATCCCCTAAATAGTAACATGGCAAATATGATTAACTATTGTTCAACCATTCTAACCATTCCAGAGATGTTGGGTTTTGGAGATAAAAGACTCCAATTCCTTTGTAGAGAAGGAGCAAAGGAGGGTTGCTAAAGAAGCAGATATTCCTTCTGAAAAGTCCTCAACAGTTTCTTCTTGGTAGTCATTCCTTGACTATTTTATTGTTTGTCTAACAGAGTACATTTTCTTTGTTGCAGTAAAACTTGGTGCCTGTCCTCCAAGATACATAGCATTCCATACAGCGTTTGACCAGTGTAAGAACGATGCTGGATGTCCACAACAAAAAAAGTGCTGTCTTGGTGATAAAGGATTGGAGTGCACAAATCCACAGCAAGGTACCATATTTATACCACCATATTAGCTGTTGAGAATCTACTTTCCCACTGCTCCCAAATTCTGTGACATTTTAGTTGGCCTGTCAGATAATGCATATCACAATTCTTAGGAAGTAACACACAAAGGGGAGTCCTTCCAAAAGCAAGAACAAATATAGTAAAGTAGATCATATTATGAATAGGAATTATGATATAATATAGAATGGTTATTGAAATTAAATATTCATATACAGAAAAAGAAATATTATTCCACGTCTAAAGGATCGTATATCTAGCTCCATTCTAAGATGCGATGTCAGGAATGGAGTGAAGGTTTCCCGAACTGCTCCATGGATTTGCCACATTGCCATGTCACCCCCCCCCCCCCCCCCCCCGCTGTCATTCATGTTAGGGACCTCCATGTGTTGAGGTCCTTAGTATCATAGAATCATAGAATAACAGAGTTGGAAGAGACCACATGACCCATCTAGTCCAACCCCCGGCCATGCAGGAAAACCACAAAGTATCCCTGACAGATGGCCATCCAGCCTTTGTTTAAAAGCTTCCAAGGAAGGAGCTTCCACCACAAAAAAATATTATAGTATACGAGCTTAATTTTTTAATGTATTTTTATTACCACTTCCTTTCCGTGGTTTTTTTTTCGTAATAAAGGAGAGGTAAGGATTTAGCAAGAAAAACCTATAACAAATTTTCAGTTATATAGTTTTGTCCACTAAATGGCTATGGAAGAAAAATTATTTTCTGCATTCTTCTTCTTTTCCCCCTACCATTTATAGTGTATTGCAAACAGACACAGAGGTCATCATTACACTTCTCTTTTATGCCATGCTATTCTGTTTGAACTCCCGGTCAGCCATTGTAGCTGATTGTTAGTGCTCTCTATCATACCCTTGTTGGACTTGCACTTTAGTTAACATTACTTAAATGTTTTTTCCGCGATATGAATGGTGTCATTATCACCCCCTGTGACCAGATGCTCATTTAATGATTGGTTTATTTTATTTTATTTTATTTTATTTTATTTTATTTTAAGTGGAGATATCAATATGCAATAAAACCATGACATCATAAGCATACTATCCTGGGCCCCTTTACTTTCTTCCTTTCAAGGAAGCCTGGATTTGAGGAACAGGGTTAAGAAAGCACCCTTCCTTAAATTCTTTCTTTTATTATTTTATTAAATTTCCTACTTGAGAGATGCAACTGTCTTACAGGCTGCATAGGTCAACAGTAGGCTAGACTATTAATGGTCAGGAGCTTTTCTTCCTTTCAAGGAATCTGAGTTTGAGTAATGGAAGCACCCCTCCTGGGGTCCATTTCTTTCTTCCTTTCAAGGAAGTCTGGGTTTGAGGAACGGTGCTCAGGAAGCATATTTTCTGGGCTCCTTTTCTTTCTTCCTTGTTATTTCAGCTATCCAAAGAAGCTGAACAAGCTGAAGAAGCCAAAGGAAAATGGCTAAAACGGGTCCATGCACAAGTCTACTGCATTGATCTGGACTATATGAGTCCACACTGATATAAAATCCAGTTTAATGCAGTTAATCTACATTCTCTAAGTGGATTATGTGGTAGTGTAGATCCAGCCTTTGTCTGACTGCAGAAATGGCAGGCTTTGCCTTTAAAAATCAGAATTTAATGAATGCTTTCAAATGTGATGTATCATGTTTATGGGATTGCGTGTATTTCTTACAGATAAACCTAAAAGCTGCCCCCCTACCGAAGTTTTTAAATGTGCTAAGTCTGAAAAGTATGAGTGTAATAATGATTCTGAGTGCCAGAAAGCCATGAAGTGTTGCTTCTCAAAATGTGCCTTGCGCTGTAAGGATCCACGATAAGGTATCTGAAACATGGAATGAAGGTGGTTATTTTTACTGGTATCTATTGGAACTCTGCATTACATATGAGACACAGGTTGTTTCAAGTAAAATTGGAAATGGGTTCTTCAAGTTACCCAGCAGAGTATACAATCAATTTACCGTTTTAAACATTAGTTCCTATCTTTGTGTGCCCAGTCATTTCTGATAATTGGGATGAAAGATGCATTTCCCATTTAATTGAAAAGGAACCACTTTTTTAAAAAAATAATATTTTATTAGGTTTTTCATATAAAAGATAAGACATAGAAACAACAAGAAACTGGGAAGACAAACATAGAACATGGGATATACAGACATAAATATAACATACATGGGGTGTAAGATTAGGGTGTAAGAAAAGGAACCACTACCTTATATAGCAGCCCCCGGTGGCACAATGAGTTAAACCCTTGTGCTAGCAGGACTAAAGACCAACAGATCAGAGGTTCGAATCTGGGGAGAGCGTGGATGAGCTCCCTCTGTCAGCTCCAGCTCCCCATGTGGGGACATGAGATAAGCCTCATGTTCCCGCATCAAAACATCCGGACGTCTCCTGGGCAAAATCCTTGCAGACAGCCAGTTCTGTCACACCAGAAGTGACTTTCAGCAACATGAATACATAAATAAATACTCTCTTACTTGAATTCACAAATCTTTCAAATTGTACAGCTAATGAAAACTGTTTGTTAGGACCTCTTCACATGGCCCGCTGCCCATTTCCCCATCATATGGTGGTGGAGGAAGTGACTTTCAGCACTTCTCTCCACTTTGGGGAATGTGGATGGGGTCTGCCGAGCATTGTCTTCCTCATCCAGACCCGGCCAAAAGCCGCAAAATGGTGAAGAGGTCCTTAGTTTGTGGAACTGAAGATCCTCCCTAATAATGTGTACAAACTTTTGAAAGTCCACTGTTTTTTATACCTCCAATTGCCTTTTGTATTTGCAGGTTCACTTCCTCAGTGCCAAAAAGCAACATCACTGTATCTCCATGATGTCTCCAGAGGATGCTGTTAATCTGGTGAAATGAATCTGAACATGCTACCAATAAATTACCTATGCTATAGTTTTGCCACTTCCTTTTTTCCTTCTTTGTGGAGTTGTATATTCTTCTGTAGTGTATGTCCAATAATGGTCACCCACACCAATTAACCAAGTAACTAATGAGTTAAAAACCTAGAAGTCCATTCCATAAAACCGTTTTCAAGGAGCTGTAATGTATCCCTAATTATAAACCAGATGGTCATGAATGCCATATTTAAAGGAAGTGACAAAGGTTAAAAATGACCCAGAGAGAGGCTCCTGAATTACCTTATTGTTTCTTTAAAACACCTTCTGGCTCCACTGCAGGAGGAGTCTTGAAACAGAAGTCCAAATGTATCAAGTAATGTTGGGTTCTGAACTGGATAAGTTAAGGACAGTCACTGAATAACTCAGTGATGAGAATTAAGGACAAAGGCAAGATTGCTTCCTTGAAAAATGGAAGCCTTGCTCATGTGAGAACATGCTCTAACCACAAACATAAGGAGAAGAGAGATATTTGAAAAGATAGTTTGGAAAACATATTCCTACAATGAAATGAAGAATAATGTCTTTACACACCAGAACATGGATGCCCATAGGAGTCTTTTTTCAGGAAAAAGAGGGCATATTTTGAGAAAGATGTCTCCTATCTTTTGGTAAATCTGTTGACTTACCAAGGCCTTGGTATGCCTGTTGTGGATCAAAACTAGAGCTGTCACTCCAGTTCTAATCTAAATACTGTCCATCACTCTATACCATGAAACATACTATATTGAAGCATATTATATTTCGGCTTTTATTTTTCCCATGCTGAATCAGCTGTCACTATGGGGCTATCTGAAAAACTCTGGAGCTTTAGGGGGGATGGATAATCTGCTCTGGAACCCAACAACCTAAATCTGTTCTAGACCCAGACTGGATCTACATTGCACTATATTCCAGGATCTGATCCCAGATTATCTGATTTGAACTGGATTATATAAATTTACACTGCCAGATAATCCTGTACAAATCAGATAATCTGGGACCAGATCCTGAAATATAGGGCAGTGTAAAGCCAGCCCCAGTCCAAACTGTGCTAAATCGAGCCAATTTGCTATGGAATCTGGTCTTAGGACAAACAATTTGGGTAACCTTATTGGGCAAAAGCCTGTCTGAAATCCCACATAACATTTGTAGCTACATAAATATCAATGACTTTAGGAACTGATCTCCCTCCAAACCTGCTAAATTTCAGGAATCCACTAACTGAAATTTGTTCAAGTTGACATTTATGACTGACATGGCCACTTCACCCTGCATGAGATCAGAAATAAGCAGTTGAATACAGTAAAGTTGAAGACCTCTAATTTAATCAAACCCACAAAGTCATGCCAGCAAGTGTGGAGGGCTGACCATATTCACTGTGAGTACACTATTCCAAGACTGAGAAGAAAGGCTGTTCTGCTTTAGGCAGCAAAATCTCTTGGGTCTCCTGGCTAAAGGTTAGCATTACACCTGGTCATCCTACCTGTTGCTGTCCCGTTTTTACCTTAGACATTAAAAGAGCTGAATCACTTGAAAATACAAAACGAGTCTGAAATGCCCTGAAGAAGCAATGAGTTCCTGTTCAACAAAGTGTGTGGAATTTCCCTTTTGTGGAGACATTGTTCCCAAATTCATCACTAACACCTCTCAGTAGTGAAAGATAATATGTTTATGGGTGGCCTTGTAGGTTGGGAATTGGCAGTCACTGTGTGCAAATAAGAGAGCTTGTAAAAGTCACTTTTTGTACAACACCTAAAACTGTAGAAACCATGGGATTCTCTGGGCTGTAGTTTAAAATCTTTTCAGAGTTCTGAGTATGTGTATGTGGTGAATGGTGTGTACATGATGTTTAGAAATTGATCAGTTGGGCATTCCTGAATGGTAAATTTGAAGTAGAACTCCACCCTCCCCACTTGCAACAAACTTAAGTATCAGGCTCATTAATACAGGAACATTTTGGACCCATTTGTGAATTGACTATGAAGATGATCTGCACCATCTTCCTTGTGGGGTCCCTAATTCTTTGGACAGAGCTGCCATTTGTTTTTAGCTTGCTTCCAATACATAAGTCATGAGATAAATTCAACCTGGAAGGGGAAATAGTAGTTCAGTCCAAAATTCCTAAAACTGATATAGTAGAAATTGAAGGAAAAACCTTTTCCTCATTCTTCAGCAGTTTCAATTGGAGGGAGGTCCTGTTAAGGTTAAGCACAAAAGGTCTGGTAACCAATTATGTATGGATTCGCACCTTCTTTCTTTCCTTCCTCTCCCTGTCCCTCCCCCTCTACCCCCAGCAATGTGGCATAGTATTTTCAAAAGAAAGCATCCCCAATCCAGATTTTTTTCCTCAAGGAAAGTCAGAGGATGCTCTGGAATTTGCCTCAAACTCAGTAGTAAACCCATACCTTCAGGGCAGTGTGGACACCAGTGTTAGGCCCAAAACAAGGCAAAGAAGATGGATCATGCTCATGAGACTGTACTGTCACCAGAGTATGTTTTAAATAGAAGGTCAACAAGACATAATATGATTCTGGATACTATATAAGCAAAGTCTTAATACCTGGGGTTTGCATGAAAACAAATCTTTCATGGAATGGGTCTTTAAGGAAAACACACAATGCAATTTAGAAGGTTATTTTTTGAAGAAGTCATATGTAGTATCTATCCATATTAGTCAAACAAGTTATGATGGAAAACAAATCCAACAGAAATTTTCCTATGAAAATCTTTAAAAGATTTTTGCCATTAACATATATACTTTCCTGAACTGTCCACTTTGCAGATCAGCTGGGATTTATCTTTGTCCACATCCTACCTTGCTTTTGTATAGTTGCAGTAAGAAAAAGCACATTATAATGTGCTTTCTCTTTTCACAAAAACACATGAAGTTACTGACCTTGGTGTAGCCCAAGATTTTTCCTCATGTATCCTCAGTTCTTGGTATCCAGCTTACTTATGGAAACCTATCTCCCTCTCCCATGTATCTCAGTGCAAAGCATCACTGATGATGTATGTGAAGTTTCTAGAAAATATGTTATTACCAACTAGTTTCTAGTGCCATTTAGGGACCTTGTGTTATTATAATTGTTTTTCTCCGCATGTACTTAAAGAAAGTATGATGAGCAATTTCTCTGCAAATAATGTAGTTCAATGCAGTAAAAGTGCATTAAATGGATCTACACTGTCCATATAATGCAGTTTCAAACTGGATTATATGGCAGTGTAGATCCAGCCTTTGGCCTTGTCCATTGATGCTCAAATTTGCTGCTGCCCAGAGCAAACATGGAAACTTGATGTTTTATCGTTCTAGAATGCAAACTACAAATATTGTTTGCCTGCATCTTCCAGCATTCCTCATTGCTTGTCAGGTTGGCCTGTTGGCCATGTAATCCAACAATACTGGAGGGACTATATGATGCTCTCCCCAGTCCTAGAGTATGATAAAACATGATGATAAATAAACATGGACGTCTAGAACGATATAGAAATATTTGCATCCCACCCTGGACATTTATCAAACACAAAGAGTTCTATGGTGTTACCTGTTCTCCATCTTTATTGTGCTTTCGCATTCATTATGGAAATTGGCCACTCACAGAGCATCCTTTGGATCATATTCTTATGGGCAAAGAAAGAAAGGTGGGTTCAGGAGAAATGTTTCCAGGCCAATGGTCTCATGAGATTGACTGGTGAGAGAGTTGCTCCTTCCGTTGCCACAAAATGAACACTCACGCACAGAAGAATTTCAGAAGTAGCTATTTTTATTTTTCACTGCTATGGAATTAACTCAGTCCAAAACTGATGGATACAAGGAGTCAGTTTAAACCATAATAGCATTCAAACCGTATCATGCAAAAACAGCATTTCCTTTCACAAAAAGACATTTACCCTCTCTCAAGACAGAAAAAATGTGCAGAGTATAGTTCTCAATAGTGTGAAAGAGTTTAGTGAAACATACTGTCAGGTAGGTAGTGAAAACAGGAATGCATCATTTTAATTCTTTGAAGGTTTAATTTCTGGAATGAGTTCTGTTTGAAATGTACAGAATGATTTTTGTCTTGGGTGGCTCTAATGTGTGCACTATTTGATACATATATAATGAGTGCCTTCATTTATGACCTACACAATCCAAAATCAAAATGTCTATTATGTTTAAAATGGATGCTCAAAATGAAGGAAAAGGGAGGATGTGTTATTGTTGAAAGTACAAACATAAAACAGAGAAAATAGCTTTGATTGGGCTCCAACAAATACATTATGACTTTTGCTTATCTGTATGGTGCAAAGGTATGATGAATTAGCTTATTCATATGGAAGCTGAAGAGTGTTATTGAGAGTTTACATTTTTTCCCTATACCAATCAAGGTCAAATACTTAGAGAACAGGATGACAATAAAAGAGTACGATTTTGTGGCCAGTTGGATTGATGCATTACTTCTGAAGATCTAGTAAATGAATTATTCTGATGGATTCTTCTCCTGAAGTTGTTGAATACCTTCCAGGTGGCTCCCAACCATCCATAGGTGAAATATCTTAGTGTCAAGGTAGAGTTGTTGTTGCTGAGTATCCATCAGTGAAGGAAGAATTTAAACTAAAGGAGAAGGAGGAGATAGATTAAATGCTACTGACACAAGTAATAGTTCCAGTCAAAGAGATTACCATTCTGCCTGGGTTGTTCTGGATTCCCATGTCCTATATCTGGGGAGGGAATCATCTGACTTTTGAGATTAGCTTGCTGGACTACACAAATATTATTGTATTGTATTGCATTGCATTGTATTGTATTGTATTATTTACTTTCTACTTAGTTTCCAACGAATTAGTTGCCAATTAGATTCTGAGCAAAGTACAAAGTGTTGGTTTTGACCCTTAAAGCCATATATGTCTTGGGCAGGCCCGTAGCTAGGATTTCGTTTCGGGGGGGGGGTGTTCAGGGGGGGCTGAGTTTCGGGGGGGCTGAGTCTAAGTGAAAGAGGGTCTAGCCTAG